AACAAAGTAAATAACTGATTAGCCTGTTTTGATACAATTATTATTGGTGACTGTTTTCCAAAGTGTATTTTTTTAGTTCCTCCTGGGGACTGGTCTTTTTGCTAAGCTTTATGAACCTTAATGTAGCATTCAGATTAATTTTTTTCCCCAAATCTAAAACTAAAGATGACTGCACAGTGTTTGCTAATTCTGTTGTCAATATTATCTAAGCCAAAATGAATATTTTAGATTTCTTAACGAAACTCCTCTTTGGGATTGTGAAAAGCAAAACACCGATACGGGGAAATGTTTGGGATTTAATGAATTGTTTTCAATATCCACAGTATTCTGTAGATGCAGAGAAAATCACCAACTTGTTACAGTTGCCACAATATTTTGATTTGGAAATCTACACAACAGGGAGATTAGAAAAGGTAAGCCAAGTAAAAAGAAATGGATGAAAACTGAGCAGAACTTTTTTGACTAAAGGCTGGCCTGCCCCCGTGGCCTCTGCAGCTAAATAAATGGCTGTTTGTACTATCACAACAATTTAAACACAGTTCTTTTGGAACAAGGGGCTGCGGTGGAGATGAGGGAACAGGAATTTGAACAAATGCATCAGAAAATAGATGATTGATTGATTCTTGTTTGTTTTTGCTTTCCGTTTGCTAGCATTTGGATGCCTTATTACGACAGATCCGGGATATTGTAGAAAAGCACACAGACACTGATGTTTTGGAAGCTTGTTCTAGAACTTACCATGCCCTCTGCAATGAGGAGTTCACCATCTTTAACAGAGTAGATATTGCAAGAAGCCAGCTAATAGATGAACTAGCTGATAAATTCAACCGGCTTCTTGAAGATTTTCTGCAGGAGGTACGTATTTTCTCTCTCACTGTACAGGTCTTAACTTTTCAAGTTACCCTTTTTTGTCTCTTTTTGCTTTCCTCATTGCACTTTGCAAAATTAAAAAAAAGCCTGGCCCAAATAAACAGCAGGGATTGCTGTGTAGGTTTCGCCAATAAATAATACTTCACATTTTGGTTGAATATTTCTTGATATTAAAATAGAGCAGAGGCTTATCCTTTGGCTTCTTGAAATCATTGGTTTAATTGCAACTTTACAACTTGTTAAACTTAGGGCGAAGAACCTGATGAAGATGATGCATATCAGGTCTTATCAACATTAAAACGAATTTCTGCTTTTCACAAGTAAGTACAGCAATAGCTTGTCCACCTTTTCCTTGTCTTGATTTTGTTTATTTATAGATACTTTATGAGTTGTTTTATGGTATGTACATTGAAAAAAAAAACCCAGTCACTTTCAGTTTGGTTTCAGCTTCTGCCATGTCTTGGTAGGATCACTCTCCTCGTTCTACCTTTAATGGGTACTGACAATAATATTAGATAGTGCGGAAAAATGACACCAGGACACTAGTATGCATGCATTCTATATAGTTAGGTTATTTAGTCAGAATAACAAGCATGTTTATACATACATCTATGTGGCACTCTTTAAAAGAAAATAAGTTGAGGGCAAAGGCGAATGGTCTAATGGTTAAAGTGCTGACCTAGGAACCAGGAGACCATGAGTTCTAGTCCTGCCTTAGGCATGAAAGATGGATGGGTGACTTTGGGCCAACCACCAGGAGACAGTGAATTCGTCCCACCTTAGTCAGGAAAGCCAGTTGGGTGACTTTGGGCCAATCACTGGGAGAGAGTGAATTCTAGTCCTACCTTAGCCATGACAACCACCTGGGTGACTTTGGGCCAATCACCAGGAGATGATGAGTTCTAGTCCCGCCTAAGCACGAAAGCCAGCTAGGTGACCACCAGGAGACAGTTCTAATTCTGCCTTAGGCATGAAAGCTGGCTGGCTACTTTGGGCCAGTCCCACTCTTTCAGACCAGCTCATCTTATAGAGTTGTTGCTTTGGGGGAAATAGGAGAAAGGAGTATTAGGTACGTTGAATTAGGAACAGTAATAAAGTTGGGGTGAAAATCAAATCAATAAATGGCTAGAGCTTTGCATCTCCGCTGATTGGGGCTTTGTGCTCAGATTGGAACTCTTTTGACAGTAGCGTGTAACAAAGAGTACAAAGCATGTCACAAAGGGCAATCACTCAGTTATTTGATGGCAACCGTCACTGCTTGTGCTATCAGTTCAATACAGTGTGAAAAGAAACAATGAATTAGAAACGTTCATGTTTTTTTGTTTTGTTTTAATTTTCAGTGCACATGACCTGTCAAGGTGGGACTTGTTTAGTTGTAACTACAAGTTACTAAAAACAGGCATTGAGAATGGAGATATGCCTGAACAGGTTAGTATATGTATATATTGCTTTAAAAGGACAATATAAAATAATAGCAAGCTGAGAGCGGTAATACCTTATTATTCTCAAACTTTTCCTTCTTTTTTTTTTGAAACACAGATAGTTATTCACGCACTGCAGTGTACTCACTATGTAATCCTCTGGCAGCTAGCAAAAGTAGCTGAGAGCAGTTCTACAAAGGTAGGTGCTGGCAGCACCGGGACAACTTGGGTCCGTGGGAATGGAGTACAGGTCATCCTCGACTTAGGACTATAATTAAGCCCAAAATTTCTGTTGTTAAGCGAGACAGTGGTTAAGCGAGCTTTGCCCCATTTTATGACCCACCTTAACACAGTTTTAAAGCGAAGCACTGCGGTTGTGAAGTTAGTAACACGGTTGTGAAGTGAATATGGCTTCTTCCCCCATTGACTTTGCTTGCCAAAAGGTGTCACGAAAGGTGATCACATGACCTCGGGACACGGCAACCGTCACAAGTACATGCCAGTTGCCAAGCATCCACATTTTTATCACACGACCATGGGGATGCTGCAATGGTCATAAGTGTGAAAAACATTCACATGTCTCTTTTTTTTCTATACCGTTCTAACTTTGAACAGTCACTTAACAAATGGTCGTAAGTTGAGGACTACCTGTACAAAGTCAAGTATAATGGGCCATTGTACAAACGTTTAGGGTTCCTTCTTGGGAAGCTGACCAATATCCTCAAATCCTGTGTTTGTATATGTCTGTGTGTGTGTGTGTGTGCGCGCACGCAGCTATAGTTATATTGGGGTAAAAAACTCCACTTGAAGTACATTCAGAGTAAAAAAAATATTGATTTTGGCAATAGTATGAGAGTAACTTCTTCTTTGCTATAAGAGAGGGATGGAAAGGAGATAGAGTCTCTTTTTCTGATTTGCAGAAATAGGGCCAGAGAAAGATCAAACAATCTGAAGCTATTATGAGAAGTTTTACGCTACTGTTCCCCTCCATAGAAAAAGTTCTCCGTTTCTTAAAAAAACCCCTACTCATTTCTATTCATTATTCGAGTACAATTCAAAATAAACATACTCATTGTTTAATATTTTTTCATTTCCAAGGAGGACCTTCTACGCTTAAAGAAACAGATGAGAGTTTTTTGTCAAATCTGTCAGCACTACCTTACCAATGTAAATACTGCTGTTAAAGAACAGGTTAGTCACAGATTTTAATATCGGACCATTTCTCTGTGTGTGTAAGTAGTTAGATGCTTTTCATGCAAAATTAATTTTTCACTGGCACTGTGTGTAAGAAAGTGTAGCATGATTTGTGCGTCCTGGTTAATGAAACAGACCTGAAGCTCTTTGTTTTATTTCAATTTTTGTCCTGCCAACTATGTTGAAGTAGAAGGAGAGGTTTGTATACTTTTTGAAAGGGCAAAACCTAAGAAGGTGCCAAGTCACATATTTGTATAAAAGATAGCATAATTTCATTATTAACAGTCAGTACAGCTAAGGTAAAAAGTGCACAGTAAATACAAGAAAACATAATGCTATCAAAACGAATAGTAAATGTGTTAGTTCCAAGTAATGACTTTGAATTGGCTTCTATTCAATGAGACAGTTTTGTATTGAGACAATACTTAAATAATGGAGTCAGGTATGTTAACACCATTTTCTAAGGCAGTGGTTCTCGCCTTTCCTTCACCACAGACCCCCTTTAAATACCTTTTGTGACCATGGACCTCCAAGACTTATCGCAAGGTTTAAATCATAACATTTTTCAAACCTTTGCGGACTCCTTGTGATGACATTGTGTCCTCTGCCAGGGATCCACTGTTCTAAGGACGTAGCTTTCTAGAGGCTTGACTTGCAATAAGTTTCTGTTGTTGTTGTTGTTTTTTTTCTCTCGCTCTCTCTTTTTTTTTATAACAATGCATCTCATTCCTTCTGTTGCAGGCCTTCACTATTTTGTGCGATGTGTTAATGATCTTCAGCCATCAGATCATGTCAGGAGGACGTGACATGTTAGAGCCATTAGTTTACACTCCCGATTCTTCCTTACAGTCTGAACTCCTGAGTTTTATTCTTGATCATGTCTTTATTGACCAGGATGACGATAGCAACAGCGCAGGTATGGGGCTGCGGAAAGGTGTCTCTGATTTCTTCTCGGTAGCAACAGGGATCTAACAATGTTTTTTTTTTCTCCCTGAGTTGTACTTTTTTTTTTTTTTAAACTTAGCCAGACATGGAAGTTGCAACTGGAGATTGCAGGGTTAGAGCTTGATCTCCACGGAGCACTGAGTCAGTCTCCAAAGGAAGTTGCTCACTTAGAAAAGAGTAGGACTTTAGTCCTGTTCGCTTTGAGATGTAGAGATACAACCTGCTCAGCCTTACTCGTGCTGTTGTACCTACCTGAGGTTTTTTTTTCCCCCTATAAGAAAGTCTGGAATTATGTGTTTCTCATCTCCAAAACTGAGAGCCCTTGGGCTCTGATTTCATCTTATCTTGGGTCACATTGCTCTTGAAGCTATTGTTAAGTTTTTCTGATGGAGGGAGTCCTTGGTGCACTCTGACTTTTTCTGATGTACATTTGGTAGCTGTTGTCTGAACTTTCCTAAAATTTAATTGCTCGGGTGCTTGAAAAAAAAATATGACTGGAGGTCTGAAACCAGCTTTAAAAGTTACCAGCTACTCTTAAGAGTTTAGCTTATATCTTTTTAAAGGTTTTGTTAATTTGTTAATTTTGGAACTCAGAGACATAAAGGCTTTTCTAAGTAGGTCAATTGAAAGTAATACTAATGGGGACTGGACCACTTTAAATCTTTCAGCCTGCTTTTGGTAGCTAAGAAAGCATCGGATTCTTTCTCTTGCTATGAACTGTTACCTTGTTCGAATATTGCAGGGCAAAAACAGGTTATAAAGATGCAGTTGATACCAAAATCATATCTAAACGCCTGTCCCTGAATGAATGCTCATATACATTCTTTTTTTCTTTTTTTTTTTAAAGATGGACAGCAGGATGATGAAGCTAGTAAGATAGAAGCTTTGCACAAAAGAAGAAATTTGCTTGCGGCTTTTTGTAAACTTATTGTGTATACCGTGGTGGAAATGAACACTGCTGCAGATATTTTTAAGCAATATATGAAGGTAATGAAAGCCTACAGGGAAGGGGATCTGAGGTTCTCATATAAAAATGTGGAATGAATGTGGTTGTATTAAATCTCTGGAGGCTTCTTTTTTCATTATGAAGGGAGTCCTTCTGGTTAACTCTCGTTGCCTTGGCTAAAAGCAGAAATTAAACGAACATATTTAAAGCAAGTTATTGTTACTTCAGTTTGGAGTGAACTACTTTTAGTTCCGCACTTTGCCTCCCAACATTTTCTCATGGTACTCACAAATAAATATTTTTATTCTAATTGAAGTTAAACTATCTGTTTTTATATCCTGATAGTATTACAACGACTACGGAGATATCATCAAAGAAACAATGAGTAAAACGAGGCAAATAGACAAAATTCAGTGTGCAAAGACCTTGATTCTCAGTTTACAGCAGGTATGTTTTTGCTGTCCCACATAATCATACTGGTTATTGGTTAAAGACGGAGAACCTTAGTATTCAGATGAACCAGAAAAACTACATTCAGACATTTCGTTGATTTATTTCCTGCTGTTAAAGTGCAAGAGGTCAGCTTTTAAGGGGATTCAGTAAACTTTATAGTTGTGTTTTTATAAAGTAGTCTTTAAACCTATTTTCATTCCTGCATATTTGTATGCTGAAATGTAAGCCAAATATAATACTGAAAGGTTTAGATAAAATGTTGTTTGAAGTCTGTTTTTTGTAGGAGTTTAATAATGTTAGGAGAGAGAAAGAGAGGAAATGCATTAAAGTATTCCTGAAACAGTACTGTTCAATAACACACAAGTTATATTGTGATCCAGAAAAAAATGTTTTGTTTACGCAGCTTTTCAATGAGATGATCCAAGAAAATGGATATAATTTTGATAGATCGTCGCCATCTTTCAGTGGTATTAAGGAACTGGCTCGGCGCTTTGCTTTAACATTTGGGCTCGATCAGCTGAAAACAAGAGAAGCCATTGCTATGTTACACAAGTAATGATTAACTTTTTCTTTACTTTGCAAATAATTGAATTTCCCTCCATAATCCTTTTCCTTATTTCCATCAGATGAAAAGAGCCCCCCCCCCAAAAAAAACCCCCCCAGCAAAATTGATAAGATATGAAATAAATAAGATAGCTAAATATAGTTTATACTTAATGCTATTCACCATACCTGATCTTTCCTATACTGTACTCAGAATGGGAAGAGGAGAAAACATTGGTAATAAATAATAAAAAAAAAATCAGTGGTCACCATCAAATAAGGCCACAGGTGTTTGGTTTTTGGTTCTTGGTATGACTTTGCCCTAATGGATTTTACTAGGTTTCTTTGCTAGTCTGTTAACCAACTTTAAACCTTTATATAATGTTTTTTTAATAAGATAAAGTCTGTTCTAGATTACTGGCCATGTGCACTATTCCTGCTAATGATGAGGATAGTTCCAGACACGTTTTGCATGCCAGCTCAACCATCATTCTCGATTACATCAACATGCTCCTGTTAATCTGCACGAGCTAGAATCATACATTAGAGGAAAAACAGATTAGATCCAGTGCATCTGTCGGAATATATTGGATTTACATGCAAAGTGTTTTCTGTAGGAAACTGCTGGTTTCGGGTAGATTGTGTCTAACCCAAAACTCAGCTGTGGATGGAAACACAATTGTTCTGGCTAGATCAAGTGACTAAGAATGGAAAAAGCTAAGGAAACAGCAGTGATTTCTGAGCAGGGGAAGATGGCCCCCAGGAGAGCCGGTGGGAGGTGCTGAAGAGGTGACAAATTTACTCTGGATTCCTGCTGAGTTTTGTTTCCACTGAACCACAACTCAGCTGGTGTGGTTTGGCACGATTTCCAGAATGTGATGCATTTGGGGTTTGAGCAAAACACATTTTTTCTTTTTTACTTCATGCACATCTCTGGTATTTAAATTCGTTACATGTTCCAAGTCCTGGATCTCCTCTGGCTATGTCTGGTTTAAGTCTTTAAGTCTGGTTCTGACCCCAAATAAATTTCTCACTTAGAAAGGGATATGATTTACTCCACGTGTCTTAAATATAGCAGCACTGATTGGAATGTAATACCGTTTGTTCTTTTGAAATACTCATTCGGGGATTGATGTTGAGCCCTTTTGTGTGTCAGGAAACCTCGATAAAAATATTCTTAGCGGTGCTCACTTGATTTTGGTTTTTTTTTTCAGAGATGGTATAGAGTTTGCTTTTAAAGAGCCCAACCCACAAGGAGAAAGCCATCCACCTTTAAATATGGCATTTCTTGATATATTGAGTGAATTCTCTTCCAAACTTCTCAGGCAAGACAAAAAAACAGTGTAAGTATTCTCACAGTGTTTTAGAAGCTTCGTTAAGGGATTTTTATTTTCAGTGAAACCGGTCTTAAAACAGGGTGGGCAACTGCTCACTGATTTTTCAGGATACAGAAGGACAAAAAATTCTAGCAAAGAACGGGGAAGAAGAAGAAATATTTCCTCCGGTTCATTCCAGTTGTAAACTATCTTTCTCTAACTGGGTTCCAGGTTAAAATAACCGCTCTCCAGCTTTGTGTAATTTTCTTAGTAGAGGGGAAATTAAAAAAAAAAAAGAAGCTGCAGATTAATTGATACATGTCATTTATGATGATGGTGACAAAAATATATTATCAGAAAATTGGTGATCACACAGCTCACCCATCTCTCTCCTCTGTTAGACTTTTGAACAGCAGCAGTAACTATGTCACATCTGGCACGGTTCATTCGTGAACTCGCGAGAGGACCCAGGAGGTATTTCTAGTAATTCCTTGCCCCTTTCTTTCTTTTGAAGGTATGCTTATCTGGAGAAGTTCATGACCTTTCAGATGTCTCTTCGAAGAGAAGATGTGTGGCTCCCACTCATGTCTTACAGGAATTCTTTGCTAGCTGGGGGAGATGACGACACAATGTCAGTCATCAGTGGGATTAGCAATCGAGGGTCTACAGTAAGGAACAAGAAGACAAAACCAGCCACAGGGAAGCGGAAACTTCCTGAAGGTTTGCAGTTACTTATTATGGGTTGCCTTGGTGTATAGCAGTGGTGGCGAACCTATGGCACGTGTGCCAGAGGTGGCACTCGGAGCCCTCTCTGTGGGCACGCGTGCCATGCCCCGGAGAGGGCAACTGTCCCTCTTCAACCAGCTGCCCGCTAACTTGCCGAGGTCCCACATGGCTGGATGCATCCCAGCACCCATGCGCTCGCTGGCCTCTGTGTGCAGGGGCCAATGGTGTCAGGCAGCAGCCGCCCCGGCCCCTGCCTCACCTTTCCCTGTGACAATGGCACCCTCGCCCTGCCTTGCCTCGCCTCGCCCCGCAGGACGAGCCTCCTGCCCACTGCCCCACCTGCCAGAGACCCCCCTGGATCTCCCCCAACCCTGCCCGGCCCCCACAGACATCCCTCCCCACGAGCAACATCAAGGTGATTATGCTCATCTTGGCCACACCCACCCAATCTGCCATGACCATCACAGCCACGCCCATCCGACACCCGACGATGCATAAGTGGGTTTGGGGTTGCAGTTTGGGCACTCAGTCTCTAAAAGGTTCGCCATCACTGGTGTATAGAGTCTATACAGGTAGTCCTCCACTTAACAACCATTCGTTTAGTGACCATTCAAGTTACAACAGCACTGAAAAAGGGGACTTAGGACCGTCTTTCACACGTGCAGCCTGTTGCAGCATCTTCAAAGTCACGTGATCAAAATTCAGACACTGGGCAAACTGGCATGTACTTAGGGCAGTTGCACTGTTCCAGGGTCATGTGATCGCCATTGGTAAGCTCCTTGGCTGCCTTCCAACAAGCAAAGTCAGTGGGGGGAAGCCAGGTTCGCTTAACAGCCGTGGCAAAAAAAAAAAAAAAAGTTTGTGAAATGAGGCACAGCTCACTTAGCCACTTTGCTTTGTGGTCGTAAGTATTTATATCCCCTACATTGTTCCATAAATCAAGAACCTCCCATCAGAAGGGTGCTTTCTGGCTTGCCGGCGCACGAGGAAAGCCTAGATTAACACTAACCAAGATTACGTCCCAGTGATAATCAGACAGATGTTGTAGACCAGGGGTCTTCAAACTTGGCCCTTTGATGACTTGTGGACTTCAACGCCCAGAATTCCTCAGCCAGGCACGCTGAGTTGAAGTCCACAAGTCATAAAAGGGCCAAGTTTGAAGACCCCTGACCAAGGCATTTAAGATCTGTGGACTTCAACTCCCAGAATTCCTCAGTCAGGCACGCTGGCTGAGGAATTCTGGGAGTTGAAGTCCACAAGTCATCAAAGGGCCAAGTTTGAAGGCCCCTGTTCAAGGCCTTTAAGATCTGTGGACTTCAACTCCCAGAATTCCTCAGTCAGGCACGCTGGCTGAGGAATTCTGGGAGTTGAAGTCCACAAGTCATAAAAGGGCCAACTTTGAAGACCCCTGACCAAGGCCTTTAAGATCTGTGGACTTCAACTCCCAGAATTCCTCCGCCAGGCACGCTGGCTGAGGAATTCTGGGAGTAGAAGTCCACAAGTCATAAAAGGGCCAAGTTTGAACCCCTGTTGTAGACCATGCTTTGTAAGCACTGACACCCACAGCTTATTGAAGGCTAGGCTAGCGCAGGTGATGTTACCTAGCTTGGCAGTGAAACATCTGCAAGAGCTCAGAGAGGCCCCAAGAAGCCCACAGAGAGGACCGATATTCTGCAAGCGGCCCCCGAATTCTTCCTTGATGCATGCTGCTGCTTTTTCTCCCCAGCTGAGGAAAGCAGCAGCAGCGACAGCATGTGGATGAACAGGGAGCAGAGCATGCACACGCCCATCATGCTGCAGGCGCCGCAGCTCACCTCCACCATCATGAGGGAGCCCAAACGATTGAGGCCGGAAGAGAACTACATGGGCGTCTACCCCATGCAAGCCGAGCACCATCAGCCGCCCATCGACTACAAGTACGTGCTTGCTTTTACTTATGCCTCGCCCCTGCTCAAATGTTTACACCTTGTCCCATTTTTGTAAAGAAACATGTTCTTCCTTCAAGCACGCAGGTAACATGGATGCTGGCTCAGAGACAGCAGGAGGAAGCAGCCAGGCAGCAGCAGGAGAGGGCAGCTATGAACTACGTGAAGCTGAGAACCAACTTGCAGCACGCCATGTGAGTACACAACAACCATCGTCCCAAGCTGGGTACCGGCTTTGCGCCCTTGGCACCGGTCGTTAGAAATTGTGTTGCAACTCTTTTATGCAGTCTTCTTGGGAGCATTAAACTTTCCCCTACCGCCGTCCTAAAAAAACCCAAAGATATTTTCCTGGATAGGAAGCAGGACTATATTATTAATGTTTCAGACAAACACCATCAATCTATGTAGGGTTACCAAGAAAAAGAGAAATGTTTTTTTTTTTTTTACTTAAGTCTCCCGCTCGCCAATAAATATTGAGTGATACTGAAGATTATTTGACTGACACGGAAAATAAACGCCTCAGGGGTTGGCTGTAGAGGTGTCCAGAACATTTAAGAGTTCAAGGAGAACTCTTAAGGCTCTTTATTCTGATTTTATCGGAAGGGTTTTGAGCTCGAAACATTGGATGAGGCCAAAACAGCCTGCTCGAAATTACCAAGCAAAGGAGTGTTTTAAATCCTCATGTGATAAGTGGGGCTAAGCCTCCTAACACAGTGTTTCTCAACCTTGACAATTTTAAGGCATGTGGACTTCAACTCCCAGAATTCCACAGCCAGCATTGCTGGCTGTGGAATTCTGGGAGTTGAAGTCCACATGCCTTAAAATTGTCAAGGTTGAGAAACACTGTCCTAACAAAAGGTTAACACTTTTCATGATAAGAATTTTCCGTGCAGGGTTGGCAATTTTTTTATTTCAATTTTCTTGAAAGAACCCTCCTTGTGTTGCGTGGCTGAGTGACATTCACCTCCGTGTTTATGTGTCTTTTAGCCGACGTGGCACTAGTCTCATGGAGGACGATGAAGAGCCCATTGTCGAAGATGTGATGATGTCATCAGAAGGGCGCATCGAGGATCTCAACGAAGGCATGGACTTTGATACCATGGACATAGACCTAGTAAGAACCAATTACTTACACCTTGTTGCAGAACAACAAACCAACCATTCTTCCTTCTTTTATAGAAGATTGGCTCTATTCTGTAACAGCCTTTTCCGCTTAAAAGGTTGATTTGTCTTAGTTTAAATGCTGAGCCTCTTCTCTTCCTAGAGAGAGGTATGCAAACGTGGCCTCTCTTATGTCAAGAGTTGGAGGGAAATACATGCTCCAGTGACTCTATATGAATAAATACAATTAAATCAGCCCAATACACTGATAACCTGCTTTGCCTTTTAGCCGCCGTCAAAGAACAGAAGGGAAAGAACAGAGTTAAAGCCAGATTTCTTTGACCCAGCATCAATCATGGATGAATCTGTAAGTAAGATGTGACAGGTTTGGGTGAATTGCAGTTTCTTTCCTGGGGTGACCTTTCTAAGCGGGATGAGAGGTGGCTGGCGTGGTTCAGCATTCTTGAGAATAATTCTGTATTATCTCTGGAGCATAAAACGGGCATATCCTTCCTATTTCTTCTGATGCTAGGGAAGAAATCAATGATAATGACAGGAGAGGAATGCCTTTGCTATCTTTCCCAGAGTCTAGGGCCAGTGACACTCATGATGGCTACAAAGTTTGATGACTACCTTAGTATAAAACTACCTTATCAATGACTGTAATTCAAACAGGCACGGGATTAAAACATTCACTGAAGATTTATTTACAGAACATTCATTCCAGTAAAGGGGGCATGTTATTATTTCTTTGACTCCACTGTTAATGGAGTTTGTTCTGTTCATATTGGGATTTCCATTGCTGTTATAAGTGAGTCATGCCTAATTTTTCCCCCATTGGTGTTAAGCAAATCTTTTAATCCTGGGCCCCGGATTAAGTCACTTTTTTTGGGTGCTGTTCTAACTTTTGAACAATCACTAACAAATAGAAATAAGTGGAGGACTACCAGTGCTGTGGAAAAGATTGGGAAAAACCACTTTTATTGCGGTCCTTGAAATTCTGGCAGTTGCTAGTTGCTTATCGCCAAACAGGAAAGGGGGGGGAAGTCATCACAAATGGGATAATTTGCATATAACTTTACTTGAAGTCTTTTCAAAGCTTCCTTTGAAGTTCCAGTGTCCTTAAATGCCACCACATGATGGCAGCACATGTTAAACTTGATTGAGCAAAGCCTTGTAGTTCTTCTGTTGTTGTTATAAGTGTTGGGCTTTGTTTTTTAATTTCAGAACAAAGCTTAAATAGTAGCCATGTTTTGAAGCTCTTCCAAAATTAGTTGGATGTCCTGGATTTAAAACTGTCCTTAGAATGGTGGCATTAATACAGTCTGGGTAGAAACAGATAGGGACATATTGAAGGTTTCTAGCTTTTTATCACTGATTTCTCTCTGAAATTAGTCCATTTGAATGATAAATACTGTGTGCGTATTCTAAAAGCATTCAGGCTTTGACAAAAATCTTACCGTTTAACCTTTTTCTCTTTCTTCTAGGTACTTGGGGTATCAATGTTTTAATACTAGTTCAGCAAATAACTCCGTGGTAAAGTCATTTTCTACTGTGGAAGAGGAGATTTTTAAATTAAAAAAGTGTAGATACAGTGATATTCTGAACAAGATTTTTTTCTCTAAGGAGAATGGTGTGTGCTTACACGATCCAGTACATTGAAGGGGCAGTTTTCTTTGCCTGAAAGAATAAAGGACAAGTAAACGACTTGAGGATAAGCTATTGTTGGGAAACCAGTATTTTATTTATACAACGTTTAGTTTGTTTCCAACTCATAGTATAAATATCACTTAAAAAATAATCCTAGCATCAAAGAGGTGCGTAGTGTATGCACTTCTGTCATCTGTTGAACATACGCAAGCAATTACGTTTTTTTTTTCTAGATTATCCTTGAAAGCATCAGGTGAAAATAAAACGGGGCGATTTGATTTTTGAGGTTTTGAAATCTGTGTAATTAGATGAAAGAAAGCATTTTTGATGTGATGTTTAAATTCTGGTCCACAGAAACTTTACTTTGGTTGTGATAATCATGGAAATAAATTACGAGTGATTTTTTTTTATTCAGAAATTATTATAGAATATTAAAAAAAAAAGAAACAACACATGCCAAGGCTTCCTTGTTACATATTCATGAAATATCCAAGAATCATAAACTGCCAGAGAGCACTGATATTTCAGCTTACCTATCTCTAACCCTAAGAGTTTGCTTGTCCTTTAAGAAAAGCAAATGTAATATTGTGAGATTCCTTCCAGTAGTGCCACTGTATTTTGTCTCCAAATAAGCTTATTGTAGTATGTTTGCAGAAAAAAAAAATTCTAAACAAAAATATACAGCTTATTAGAGTGTGGGAATAGGGGTCTAAATTTTAAATAAAAAGTATAAATATATATATATATATAAAAAATTGGTGCTGATTTTATAATTGCGCAGTTTTAGTTTTTTCTTACTTTTAAATTCCAACTTAAAAAATTATGAGGTTTCAGAAATATATTGAAAGTTTAACAATGTTTAAAAAATAGATTTAAGCATGAGAATTTCATGCTTTAAAATGATTTTTAAATTTGTATTTTATATTGTTTTATCTATCTCTGTCTTTGCAAGCAGTCTTCAGGTTAATGATACTTCTAACAGGTTACAGGACATTTCTTCTGTATGTAAATTGAATTGGGTAATAGAACTTCATCAGTACCCCATAATATTCTTTGAAAGCTAAGCTTTAAATGAATTTCATTGCTTCTTTTTCACAATTAAATTAAAAATAAAAATTAAAACCCATGGATTTATGTCATTTCAACGTAATTCATTTTGCCATCCTTAGGCAGCTAGACAACATTTAAAGGAAATATTAACTTATAACACAAATGTATATTTTTGTCAGTTGTCTCTCAGTTCTTGAGGTATATTATTTCTAATCATTCCATGCGCCTTAATATGCTTGCAATATGATAATTTCCTCAAATAAGCAAATAGAAGAACCTCTTAGACAAAAGGAAAAAAAAATTAATCAAAGCTTGGGCTGTGGTAGCCATAAACCATAGATTCTCTAAAGGATCCCGATAACATAATTATTTTGAAAATCATGACGTAATACACAGAGCCAGTTTTGCATAACTCCATTTTGCATAAATATTCACATGTCTAAAATACTGCCTATATTTCTTTTCTTTTTTTCCTCTCCTCCTTTACACCACTGCGTTTAAATAGAACTGCTGAGAGGACTGTATATATGATTTTGTTGATTTTTTTTCTCTTACTCTTGAAGGAGTGTTTCTTTGTGAAAGCAGTTCTTACAGCTTTATGTTTTCAGACTAAAAATGTTTTATATATTTACCTTTAACCTGTTGTCCTCCACATTCTATCGTCCTAATTGTACTGTTTTCTGATTTGTATTTATGTCTTGAGACAAGTAACTTTTTGAATAAAAATAAACCTACAGTATGTTGTAAGTTTGATCTTTTTGAATCAAAGGTAGAGGAAGAAAATAAAAGTGTGAATGGTATAAAAAAATGTTATGTTTATAAGAATTAAAGCTTTTTCCATGTCTTTTAAGTGTTTGTCTCAGAATTGGGATAATGTATGGAAAACTGCACTGTTTTATATTTGTAATAAATTGTACAAGTTTTTAAAATGTGAATAAAGCACTAATTGGGTTAATAATTTAAAGTAGAGATGTTATGCGATATGATTGTCTTAACTATTTCTTCAGTTGGAGAAAGATGGTCTCCTCCCTGTTCTGTTTTCATGTGTATATTCAATTCACTCAAGTGGACAATTCAGGCTGTTTAGATAGAACTATATATTTTTGAAGACCTGATCTTAAACTATTTTTGACACAGGCGTATCAACATTCCCACAAAATTTAATCATTAACACAGGTACCCTATCCCTCCTTTTCCTGGAATGAGATCCTTTTGGCAAGACACCACTGTGCCAACAACCAAACTACAGAATAAGAGTTGGAAGGGACTTTGAAGGTCTTCTAGTTGAACTCAAGCAGGAGACCCTAGACCATTCCAGTCAAATAGCTGTCCAGTCTCTTCTTAAGAATCTCCAGTGATGGAGCACTCAAAACTTCTGGAGGTGGCCGTTCCGCTGATTAATTGTTCTCACTGTCAGGAAGTTTCTCCTTAGTTCTAGGTTGCTTCTCTCCTTGATTAATTTCCATCCGTTGCTTCCTGTCCTGCCCTCAGGTGCTTTGGAGAATGGGTTGACCACGTCTTCTCTGCGACAGCCCCTCAGATATTGGAAGACCGCTATCACGTACCCAGTTCTTCTAATAAGTGTGTGTATTCCTGATGGGAACTGAAGAAGGTAGGTTGAAGAACACCCAACTTCACAGGACTATCTGGCCTAGACAAATTGTTGTCACCGGTATTTCTCAAATACAGCCAGCAGGGGGTGTGCTTCAAACAAACAAGGATCCCCGTGAATGCAATATCTACAGTAATAATGCTTTCTTTCCCACCAAGATGTTTCACTTAACACTATTAAAATAACGTTTAGGATTAGAAATAGATAACACGATGGTTCAGCGCACTGGCATAAAGATAGTCCTTGATGTATAACCATCAATTGAGCGACTGAAGTTACACAGCACTGAAAAAAAAATGGATGTTACCTAATTTGGTAAAGAAATAGCAGTAAAACCGTCAAGCTCGGAGAGCACCAAAGACCCCACAGTCGTCCTCTTCTTTTTTACACACCCCAGTCCCTTCTAGCGCTGATGCTGTTACTTAGTTGGGTAATGAAATGTCTGCAAGAAAACAAGCAAGCTTGGAGAGCACCCAGGATCCCTATAGTTCAACTTTACGCTACAAATATTCTCTTCTATTGGCAAAATAATCCTGTTGAGTGGCTGGCTATTGGATTGGATTCAGGCCCAAAGAACAAAAACAACAAAAATACAGTAAATATTTTAATTCCTTTTCTCCTCCCAGTTCTAATCCTTGGACTTCACATCCTACTACACACACTTCCCTTATGACCGTTTCCATTTGCACAAATTAATGCCTCCATAAACAACCGGCCCAGAAAAGTGTGAAAAACAAGTGTGTGGAAAACATTTACAGGCAGGTATTTAGTTTACTTTCATTTCTGGCACCCTGAAAAATGGAACTATTTAATAGCACGTCAATAATAAACACTGCTAAAAAATTTCCTTCCAATAAAGTCGTAATATTTTGTCAATTGCTTTAATTCTCAGTTTTACGGCTTGAGGATTTGAGAATGCTGGATTGCTGGCAACAAGCAGGCCTTACGGCTTTTTAATGATAACTGTTAACGTTACTTAAAAAAAATGAAATAAAAGCGGGGGTAGACCTCAGGAAATGATTGTTTAAAGTAGATTGGAAGAAAAAGTTGAACAGGAATTTCCTCCCGAAGAGGACCTTGTCGGAGGGAAAATGCAAATATTATTCAGCGCACACAGGCCACGGGAAGCAGGAAGTTGGTGAGGGAAAGGTCCGATACAGTCTGGCAGGCAAACGGGAGAGGACACACATTTTGCTTATTAGTCATGTTTTTCTTTCCAACGCCAGGATAAATCGCAAATCCGTGCACTGTAGGAATTCTGCAAAGCACTTTGATCCACTCTCTGCCTCTGACTTAATAGAAAACAACTTCCTTTCACTAGTCTCTCCCCTTCGGAGCAAAGCGTTTTATTGAATTTTTTTTTTACAAATGCACTTTTCTTAAGTCGCAGCAGCACTTAGACCAGTGATGGCAAACCTTTTAGAGACCGAGTGCCCAAACTGCAACCCAAAAGCCACTTATGCATCATCGGGTGCCGGGTGAGTGTGGCCCATAGGGTGGGCGTGGCTGCGGTGGTAATGGCAGACTGGGTGGGACTAAAAAGTTCAATCAATCAATTCCAACTTTGCAAGATCTTTTTTTTTCCCACGAGAATTTGAAATTGATTGATTGAACCTTTTTTTTTTGTACATGGCAGCGGAGGCCTAAAGCGAAAAGGTTTTATAAAACCCAGCTGAAGGCCCAGGACTGGGGCGACGGCGTGCGTGCCCACAGAGAGGGCTCTGAGTGTCGCCTCTGGCACCTGTGCCATAGGTTCGCCACCACTGACTTAGACTTATATACCGCTTCATAGTGCTTCACAGCCCTCTCTAGGCTGTTTACACTGTCAGCAAATTGTCCCCAACAATCTGGGTCCTCATTTTGCTGACCTAAGAAGATGGAAGGCTGAGTCAACCTTGAGCCAGCCAGGATCAAACTGCTGGCAGTCGGCAGAGGAAAGGAAAAGGAAGGAAGGAAGGAAGGAAGGAAGGAAGTTTCTCCGATGCCAAGTCAAACTCATCACTAAAGCAAATGGTAAAAACTTACAAGGAAACAGCATCCTGTCGCAAGCATATGAAGGGAATTGACTGCTGCTTCAGTGAAAATCTGCAAGCTTGACTCTTGACAGCCTCCTGACAGTTGTCAAAATCATTTCATCCCGGCTTGGATTTAACTGCTTAAAACAAATATAGCCTTGGATTTTTATTTTTTTTTTAATTTTTTTTTTAAATGCTGACTTGGGTTTTTATATATGAGTATGCCTTTAGGAGAATTCTTATGCTACATTTTAGAGGCCGCCTCAATTCACTGAGAGAAGGAGAAAAAAAAAGAAACCAACGGGCATAAAAATAAACGGCGGTATTCGAAGTAAATAAAATTACTAGAGATTTCCCAGCACCTCGATTCCCCCCCTCCCTTTAATTTACTCGCCTGAATTTCCCCCTGGTTCTATAACTGCACGTCTTTTTCTTGTTTAGATCCAATTGTAATTCTCCAAAGAACGGACTTCGCCATTGTCATTACATCCATCGGAAGGAATTAAAAACAACAGAATAACAAAAATGTTTTTTTAAAAACAGTAAGAGAGAGCCAGAGAGTGGTTAAGGTACCAGGCTAAAAATTCTAGTCTCACCTTATGTATGAAAGCCAACTGGATGACTTTGGACCAATCACCAGGAGATGGTGAGTTCTAGTCCCAGTTTCATCTTAGGTGTGAAAGCCAGCTGGATGACTTTGGGCCAATCACCAGGAGACAGTGAATTCTAGTCCCACCTTAGGCATGAAAGCCAGCTGGGTGACTTTGAACCCACCTCACAGGATTGTTATGGGGGGAGGAGTAAGAAGATGTATTGGATATGTTCTCCATCTTGAGTTATTTGTAAAAATAATAAAAGCAGGATACAAATAAATAAATAAAAAAGTCCAAAATACAATCACATCAACCTAGGGGATCTGAATACCTTGCAGTTCCCATATGAGAATATTTGGTATAGCCACCAAATATAAAATATAGATTGCTTTCTATCTTCTATATTGCAATCTCTATGGGATAAACCTGACATATGAACACAGGTCACTGCTCGGCCGGTGGGAAAATCAAACGTTAGGATGTTCAGTGCCATCTCCCCAACCCTTCATGATCCTAAGAATTTCCAGGCCGAGTTGGCCATAATAGGAGCCTAAAAATGCATGTTTGGAAATGTGACAAGGATTGTCATCACTCTGAAATAACAAGAGCAAACAATGGAAGTTGGAGAGTTTTGTTGACAGTGGAAACAGCACTAAACGGTGACATTTTCCAGATCATAAAAATGCTCTCAAATTGCTATCTGTGCCTTATCCAAGGTCACCAGCGGAGAAGGGTGAAGCCAAGGATTTAAAGAAGCTGAAATTGCGGAGGAAGCAATCTTGACTGTACAAGAGAAGGGTGTTGTTGTTTTTTAATGTACAAAAGGGTGCAATCCAGAAATAAGCAGACTCAGGTGAATTCTACACGCTCAGCAACGAATCAAAGGCCTGAGATTAGGAATCTTTATTTCAAAGGTGTGGAACAAGAGTGAGATATGAAGAATGCAGTGAACGTTGTGTGGGCCTCACTACTCTTCATACAAACCACATGCTAACACAGGTCCTGAAACACAGGTCCACGGCTAAGCATGTAGGTTGGTTCCAAGTCTCAGATGAAAAACGATGAAGCTATTTCACAGCAGCATTGTATGTCCCACAAGGTCAGAACAATCAGTCCAGGAATGGCAGCTTCCTTAGGTTTATCTTGGGAAAAAGTTGGGCAATTAGTCGTGGTTTAATTCATATTTTGGTGTCAATTACTGAGTGACACTTGATCTGCAAAACTTAACCAGGCTAGCTTTGGTTAGACTGCAAGGGTGGGTGAGATTATTCTACCTTGGACAAGCCTCCAAGACTGATTTTGATAAAGCCCACGATTCCTTTCCCCCATAAAGCAAAAAAAGCATCAACCTTTTTGGCTGTCAAGCATCTCAGGAATTCTTGCTCTTTCATAAAACCTAGCACTCGTATCAACAGGATGCTTTGAAGATGCTCCTAAAACTTCAGAAGCTAAGCTCTGGGTCCATTGTCCAGCCTTGCTGATTGCTGATGGTTGCTAATCACTTTTGCTGCTCTGGCTTATAGCACCATCCCTTGCTAGTCATCCTTATAATATGTAAATGTAGGCCAGGTATAGCAGGCTTGTATAAGAGGCTTCATAGATTTCTGAAGAGGCCTCTGAAT